CGATCCTAAAATTTCAATGATACTGTAATTAGACAAACTATATGGATTTTTTCTAACAAGGCCATGTTTACAACTCCCGTGTAAAGTTTGGCGCTCGATTTATGGTGAGTTTACGGCTCCAGGTATTGCGAATACACCTGAAACTCCCAAGCTGGGCAGGAGAGTGGTTAGCCTCTGGTGGAAATCAGGCCTAGTTACAGTGGAACAGTAGCCGATCAGTGCATTGGATAACTAATGGCTCAGCTGAAACCTCCTTTCGGTGCCCAACTGCCAGGCAATCCAAGAGAACCCCAAGGGTTGAAATACTGCCAGGTTGTCCAAGTTTAAAGTTGTCTGAGACTAGGCTTGAGCCAATGTTCGCGGCTTAACCAATGGACTACCTCAGGCCCACTGGACAGTGGAAACGAAGTGTGGTTAGTAATTCGGTAGAGGCAGGCGGTCGGAAGGCACAGAAACTCCCATTACCGGATGTCCATTTGAGTAAATAAGCGTAAAAATGAGGGCTTGAGCGACACCAACACACATTGCTGCTACGGCTGCGCAGTCGGTATTCAATGACGTTCGTGTCCTTCGAACTTCAGGTAACAACTTTTTCAGCCTCATTTTCAATTCATGGTTGCTCTCACTTGCGCCATATTTTTGTGCGTGTTTGACGATTAAAGCATCCGAAAAAAACAGGAATGAAAGTCTGGCAAATTTCCAACTCCGCCTCACTGCACCTCTGCACGTGCGGACGGAAACGGAGGAACATATCAGGTACATTACAATATTACTCATAAGGTCGATGAAAAATCTAGACAACCCACTGTCCGGTTTTGCCCTTCTGCGGGCTGTGTCGTGGATGGTTGGAGAATGAAGCACAGTCACTCCACAGTCACTCTCAATTTACTCTTTGTCTGATATAATCAGTCACGACAAGTTGCTCTGACACGTACAACAGATGTCAGCCATGTCACCTCACTCGCTGCCTAGCATTTATACCCCGAAGTGAAAATCACACGGAACACAGGTGCGCTGGATATGTGTGCCACAGTGTCCTCAGAGGCTTCTTGGACCTGAATGTAATTAGCTCAAGGTTTATGCCCTCTTATCTAGCCTTTTGTGAACCTTTAAATGCGATCGAACGCCCAAGGCCAGCACTTCGAATTGATGTTCCCACCTAGTTGGCACTGCATGTGAGCCAGTCATCTGGTCTCACTCCAACCACTACAAACTGATCCAGGATAAAAGAGCAAGATTCAAGAAGGCCGGTATGTCTGGACTTCGCCTAACTGATGAGCCCGAAAAAGGACGAAACCGGCCGTGGGCTGTCGACGAATTTTCAGCAACCTTATGAGTAGTGCATTACGTCCAAACTGTCCCGTTAGTTTACAGCACACAACGTTCGTGTGTGAATGTACTCGACTGAAAAAAATCATTATCTGAATCAATACCTGACGTCTGCCCAAGCAGACCAGTTTGAACACCACCATTTAGAGGTTTTCCAGGTTCTATTGCTGCGTTCTCCTATTCTGCATGACACTCGAAGAGACATTCCTTGGCGTACTCATCAGCCTCAGCAGGGGTGGAACCGGTAGTCTACTGTCCAGAGTCTTCATCAACCTTGTGAATTTTCTTGAAACACAGTTCGACATCCCAAATGAAGCCTAAAGTGGCCTCCGTCCAATTCATTTACTTGAAGAACATTTTGAACGAGAGATCCAGGTAAACGTTTTCAGGGTCTTTTCAAACAGGAAGAATTCTGGAGACCTGTTCCAACTGAAACTCCTAACCAACAGTCGGCTGTTAAGGGTAGTCATCGACCCCGTGAGTAGTATTGTAACGCGCCTAGATGGTTTAGTCTGTCCTGTTGACGTTTGAACAACCGGAGTGGAAGGTGGATTGAAAACAGTCATAAATTCAGAATTGAATTTCATTATTGAATATATTGCATAGGCACAGGTGTGGTGCGAAACGGGAATAGTTGACACTTGAAAACTATATTGGAAAAAGTAAGGACGATGCTCAAATTAGGTATGAATAGTGAGGATGTCGTAAGTCCAGTAGTGTGGGACTCCCAGAAATGCGAAAACCTTATATCGATTACTGTTCGAAAACGCGCATGAGAGCGGTCTGTTGGCCGCAGTCGATTAAAACAACAAACGAGGTCAGACTGGCTGACTCGAGAAGGCAGATATAACCGAGTAGCAGAAGCCGGTGGCCATTCTGGTTTCAGGACGACCTACCTATACAACTAGGAACTACAGAAGCTTAAGCTGGATAGCGGAAAGTTAGGAGGTTGCGTCAGTAGTCAGATATCTGTTGTATGTAGCCACTAAAGCCACCTCTCTAGAGTTAGCATACCACGTCCGACGTGAAATAGTCGTACTTAACCTGTGTGAAGCTGAAATACCGCCAAAAAAATCCCGTCGTGAAAATGCATCTAACTACTTGGCTAACGCTGTGTACTACTGACAGAACGTACGAGTAGTATCTGGTTGTTTCAAACCGGATGGAAGGTTGATTCGAAAATCATTGAACTGTTCTAGAATGTCTGATAACTATTGTTTGGTATTCAAAACAGAGAAAGTTCATGAGGACATCTGTGTTCAAATGAGGTTCAAGTTTTCTTCTCCGATAGCTTCTACTCGCTTAGTTCGCGTTTCCCAGCAACCAGCTCCGCGCTCCGAAGCGCCTCTCACTGGTAGCTAGCCCACGGGTTTGGCAATTGGCCCGAAAGTATCTCGTTTGAGTAGACGTTATGGCTGCACTGTTGAAGGTCATTTCTACAGAGTGTCTCATAATAGACGCAAAGTTTAATTGGCTAAATTAACGTAGTTAACTGAAGAAAGAATAAACGGAATTTTTTATTGTAATGGCCACATAAAGGAGGTTTTGTGTGCAAGTGTTGATATTTGTTGTTCTTGATGGATGTTAGTACGTGCATTGAAATTGTGTAACTCTATTATTTCCTTGGTGAAAGCGCCTCCGCTGCACTTCGTGGTTACAAAACCAAACATGATCTCATCAAAGATCCTTTCACCGTGTCGACCATTACACGCTTGATTGCGAAGTTTGAGTCCACTGAATTTGTATTGGACCTTCCTGGCAAAGGTAGAAAGTGATGAAAGAGCGCCCATTGTACAGAATGCCGTCGAGCAATTTCACTTCCAGAGCACCAAGGCATCTTCGTCAATAAATCAGGTGTCTCAGTTGACCGGCATTCCCCGCGCCAGCGTGCATCGTATTATGAAACGCCACCTCTATGATCAAGGCTCACGTAACCACAAAAATAAACCGAAGAATTTGGTAGAGTTAAGAGCAAGAGGAGTGTTCACGAGTGACGCTTGAAGAAGTTAAACATACTGTGTCTCACATCTCATACCGCCTCCAACTTGTTGTAGAAGAAGGGGGCGGTTTTTTTCCAAAATCTTTTGTAATGCCAGTTTATTCAGACTAAACCTCCATAATGCTTGTATGTCCAAATGAAAAATAATAAACGTTTAACTTGATGTTAAAGTTTTAACCTGGCTATTATTTTTCTTATCTATTATGAGACACCTTGTATATAATTTTACCTGTGGAACAGCGCACTAAGAAAATCAGGCGCCGAGGTGTTGAAATCGCTGTTAATGAGCAGTCACCCCGCAGACTAAAGTCGAAAATATCTCCGGTCATACAGGCCCCCGGCATGGGTAACCGATCCATCGGGACAGTGGTAAGTTTGTTCCACTTTCCAATGAGTATCACCGCGACATTGCCACAATAAAGGTGAAAACCTTGAGATCAGTGAACTACCGCCATGTTTTCCATTACCACAGTGGTGGATCCCGGTAGAACTTGCTTGGTGCCGTACCTTTGAGCCGATCAGGAATGGTACGATCCAGAAAACCATCGATCGCAGAGGCAATTGGAATCCGACAGAAACTTGCCAGAGGCAATTGGAATCCGAAAGAAACTTGCGCGACCTCTGAAAGTGAACTGGCCTACGAAACATCCGGTCCCACAAGTCTGTCTGACATTGACGTCGCTTACCTGAATCCGTGACCCATTGACCTATCCCTCGTTCAGCCCCCCCCTTCCTTTGATTTCTATTTCTCTAAAGTGTATGTAGCCTCGATCTTAACCTTTTCCATGTGATTTCTGCTACCATATAAATTAATGATGTATTAGCCAAGAGGAACAATCACAGAAAACAAGCTTTGTTCGCTACCTTCTTCGTTCTCAATCCTAAACCCTAATGAAGGCCACGACAACCACTGTCATACCAGGTTTGAGCCTGTAGGTGGCTTTCACCGGACGTGTGCACGTTTGTTTTTGATCCCATCCCCCCCACGGCACGAACTTGCGTCCTACATCAGATCTAGGTCGACCTTCTGCTGAGCGCATACGTCCATTACTTTGCCCACGGGTGACCCGTTCCGGATGCCAGCCATTTACACCCAGCATCGGTTTTCATCATGGGTGGATTTCAAACAACCGGCAACAAACAGCCTTCTGTAAAGCCTGTTCACCGTCAAAGGACCACGTTTTCCGCGTCTTGATCTGCCAAACACGACAGCTACCAAGTATTTCACTACCAGGCTCGACCTTTTTCCAATCCTGAGGCTTTGGGGGAAAAATAACTCACATTTATCCCAAACGTTCAACTGACACACGGATTCGGGTGCGAATATATATATATATATATATATATATATATATATATATATAAAATAACACAGACTTTCGAGAAATACACTCAGTTGCAAATCAATTTGGTTTTCACGAGAGACTCAGCTGAATGTTTATTTTATGATGTTCTACAACTGAATGTCGTGGGCTGTAGAAGTGTCTTCAGCAACCTTTTAAGTAGTGTCCTTCATGAAAATAACCCAGGCTTTGTTTGTGAATCCGTAAAATCTGCACTTTGTAAAGTGAGTCGTCAATTTGGTCGAAAACCAGACAAAAGGTACCAAAGTGATTGTCGGCTGGTCGTCATCAAGTCATTTTTAAACGCCTCACCATGAAGACGAAACTACTTGGAAACGTTTGTATGGTTCGCTACACGAACTGATGATAAAATTAAAGCGATCAGCCCCCTTTGATCTGCCGAAATCTTGATTGTGCCGCGGTGGTTTTTCTTTCTGCAACGGCGTGCAGATGCCAAATTCCATTCGGCATTTTTTTTCCAAATCCTGATGGGAAACGGGAACAAGCAATTATCTTTGTTCGGCATCAGAAACGAATTTTCAGGCAAATTCCATTATTCAGCAAGCGATCTGAGGGGACGGAGACGAAGGGCGTGAACATAGACATCTTAGCAATGAAAACTCGGTTGTAGTCGATGCAATGGGTAGACGAAAAACAGACACTTTACATGCGTCGATAATCTCACGCCTAAGTACGGTTCGGAAATCACTTAAGGTTGTGTCAAAAGAATTTGTCCAGATACGCAGATGCCCATTAATCGAAACGGAATGTTACTGGCAAATGTTAACAGCCTCGTTATAATGTAGCCCGTTTTTAACGGTCTGTCGTACAGGGTGGGGGAGCAATCCAAAACGAAAACGAAAGGACACTGACAAGTATGGTTAACCTGGCGCCTAAAACCGCCTGATTCAGTGATGGAATTTGCGAACTGTAGGGAACAGTCTATTTGCTTGGCATAATACACTTATTTGCGTATCGGTTTGGCTTTCGCAGGTGACTCACCTGAATCCCAACCTGAATCTCTTGTTTATACTGTTTTTCTTCAACTGAATGTGCGGTACCAGGCCGCTCCATGTTCCACTTGGTACAATATTTGAGATACCGCAGTACATCGCCTAGGAGTAACACACTACTCACGAGGTTGCTGAAAAACCTTCAACAACTCACAATCGATTTCGCCCTTCTTGAATTCAAGGGGGAAACTCGGGACCTGTGTCTATGTGACGAGCCCCAAGGAGAACGAATCATCATCATCATCATCATCATCATCATCATCATCATCATCATCATCATCATCATCATCATCATCATCATCATCATCATCATCATCTTC